CAAGGGGCGGACAGAGACCTTTGACATCACCAGTGACTCTAAGGACGTCACATTCACCCTCATCAGCCAGTGCCATGGCTTTAAACTCTTAGGTAAGAATCTTAGGCGAGCAGCAACGTGGGCTGGGGCAGGAGAGGCCCGAGTCAGTTTGGGTTTCCTTGCATTTCTCCATTCTGCACCCTCACATTTTTTCATTTGGATACCCAGGACCAACAAACATTTTTCCTTCTTTCCTCTCCTCATCTTGTTTCTCTCTCTCCCTTTCCCACCCCCATCCCCTCTCCTTCTGAGACCAGGTCTTACCATAATAGCCCAAGCTGGCCTGAAACGTCTATGTAACCCAGCCAACAAACTCCCGGTTCTTCCTGCCTCAGCCTCTGCGCAGTGTGATGGCTGGTTTTCAATGTCACTTTGCCATAACCTGGATTACCTGAAAAGGGAGTCCCAATGGAGGAATTATCTAGATCTAGGCCTGTGGGCATGTTTTTTTTTTTTTGGGGGGGGGGGGGGGGGGCGCTGTCTTGGTTGTCAATTATGGTGAGACAACCCACCCCGAATATGGGAGGCACTATTTCATGAGCTGAGCCTTGAACTATGTAAGAATGAAGAAAACTAGCTGAGCAGAAGCCGCCAAGCAAGCAGCAGGCAGCATGGGCACATTCATTTTTCCCTGCTCTTGACTGGATGTGACTGTTAGCTTCCCTCTGTGATGGACTTTAACCTGGAATTGTACGCTAAACACAGTTCCCTCCCCCAAATTGCTTTCGTTCAGGGTGTTTTAGGGCGGCATTAGAAACGAAACTGAACAAGGAAATATCACCACATCTGGCTTGAGAAACAGCATTTCTTTTTAAAAATTGTTTTTATTAATTCTAATTATGTTCCTGTGTGTGTAGGGGTGTGTGCGCATGAGTTCAGGTGCTGGGACCTGCCAGAGGTGTTGGATCCTCCTGGAGCTGGAGTTATAGGCAGTGTGAGCCACCTGAAGTGGATGCTGGGAATCGAACCCTGGTCCTCTTAACCACAGAGCCATCTCTCCAGGCCCTGAGAAGATTGTTCCGTATAGCTGGCCATAGCAGCTCAAGCCTGTAATCCTAATGGCTTGGAGGTTGAAGAAGGAGGTTGCCATGAGGTCCAGACCAGTCTGGGATACAGAATGGTACCCGGTCTCAAGATTTAAAAAAAAAAAAAAAAAGATGCCTATAGTTCAAATCAGTGGCCCCTCCCCAAGTGAGTAGCAGTAAGGGGTTTTGATAGAGATAACTAAATAGGTAGACTGATTCTGAGCACACACAGGTAATGCAAATGTAATTTTACCTCTATCTAATAATATGCTTGCTTTTTTTTTTGAGACAGGCTTTTACTATCCATCCTGGAACACACTGTGTAGAATAGGTTAGCCTTGAACTTACAGAGATCTGCCTGCCTCTGACCCTTGGGATTAAAGGCATGAACCACCATGTTCAGCTATATGCATCACTTTTAATCATCATGGAGCATTTGCCAATTCATTAGAATAATTAAGTATGACCATTAAAATATTAATTTAGCCAGGCAGTGGTGGTGCATACCTTTAATCCCAAAATTGGCAGGTGGATCTCCAAGTTCGAGGCCAGCCTGGTTTACAGAGTGAGTTCCAGGACAGCCAGGACTATACATAGAAACCCTATCTCCTCAAAATAATAATAATAATTATTATTATTATTATTATTATTACTATTATTATTATTATAGTTTACAGGGCTGGTGAGAAGGCTCAGCAGGTAAAAGCAATTGCCACCAAACTTGACAACCTAATTTCCATCCCTGGGACCCTGACACTTCTGCTTGGTCTCCAGCATGACACATCCTGGTGCAGGCTCAGGCAGAGATGCTCTTAGAGGCCTCTTCATGGGGCTGGGAAGGGAGTAGACTTCTCCTCTGTGGATTTCTACCTACACCCAGCACCCAGCACGTTCAGCAGGTGCCGCCTCCCTCCAGCTTGGAGCATGGCTGCCATCACAGTAGGAAGTCCAGCTCCGCAGGAGTTTGATCTTAGCTCAAAAGGTTGCCTGATGGCATTCCGGATTCGGGGAAAGGCCTGAGGGTGTGTGAGAAGCAGGGCATTAGGTACCGGCATGCATTGACCACAGAGTAGAGGACTCCCCCAGCCATTCAGGTCTCTTTTTCTCTGGACAGAAAACGGGAGTTTGCAATGGACGCCACCAGCATCTCCAGAAGCATGCACCCTGGAGATTCTAGCCAGAGATGCCAGGACTCACTTGTCATCCGTACTCCAGCCCCAGACTACAATATGCTTCTGCAATATGGAGAGCCAGTGTTTGTACAATGAGACCAGCAGGGAAGGCAACTCTTCCCTTGAGGTGAGTAGTGGGAGCTGGGGAGGGCTCCTCTGTTGGGGGGAGCAAATGGAGGGATGCCGTGAGTGAGTGTGCTCTTGCCTGGGCAAGGTGCGTGTGGGAGGAGGGTAGAGCTGCGGTGGGTGAGTAGCGAAGGGGCCCATCTTGTGTGAACTTCCATCACTGCTTAGAGCAAAAAGAGTTTTTGTGTCCCACCTCCCATTCTGTCAGGCTTAGAAATGTGCACCTCACTTTCTCATAGTTCCCCACCACGGCACTGAGGTGTAGGATGGGAAGGCTTCCCCGGGTGTTCTGGATAGAGGGCTATAGACTCCAGCGTGCTGCCCCGTCTTCCTCCAGACCAGGGAGACGGAGTCCGCTGTGCTCACACAAAAGAGGCCCTCATCGGACGTTACGGAGAGTAGCTCACCATGAGACATCTCTTTGGGGCTTGGGAAGTGAGGGGCTGGATGCTGCCTTGCAACTCCCAGCTCCTGTGTTTGCTCTCCCCTCTAGAGCTAGAGGAAGTACCTCTCTTTTCGGTTTGGAGAAAACTCTCTCCATCCGCATTTGTGGTCAAGCTTCGTGACCCACAGCTGCTGCCCCATTTCTGTCTTGTCTCTTTGTCTGATTTTGTTTCCTCTCTGTTACTTCCCCCGGCTTAACTCTATCAAAGATTCCAGGAAAGGAGGAACAGTGTGAGAGAGGAGATGCTGAGAGCCTACTGCAGGGCCGGGCAGGGGATGGTGTAGCTTTGGGCAGGGACGCACAGCCCTGGCCTGTTCAGGAAGGTGCCTGCCGGAGGGACTGGCAGGACTTCCACATCACGACAGATGTGTCAGGGCAGAGACACTAAAAGTTCTTCAGCTTGTGGTCACCCGCCACTCTGCTGTTACTCAGGTGGCCAGCTGCAAGTGTGATGGAGACACCTTTGGCCGCTTCTGTGACCGCTCTAAGGACCTCTGTGAAGAGCCATGTTTCCCAGATGTGTCCTGCACCCCAGGGAAGGGCTGTGAGGCCTGCCCTCCAAACATGACTGGAGATGGGCGGCATTGTGCAGGTGAGCTGGGAACAGGGCCCTAGCAAGAGGAGGGTGCCAGGTTCTGGGTCCAGGTGACATGTCAAGGGTCTGTGGTAGACAAAGACAAACTGGTGTGTCTGTCTTTAGCAGCATGTCTTCAAATCCCCCACGATAAGAAGCTGTGATGGGGAGGGCTTAGAAAGGGATGGTAGATGGTATGGGGCTGAAGGAGGGGATGCAGACGCTGAGGGTGGGGCTGGAACAGAGCAGCCCTGAGACCCTGCTGGAGGAAACATGGGGAAAGACTGATGGAGAAGGCTAGGGAAGCAGAGGTAAGCTGGGCTCTCAGGCACCTGGGCATCTTCAGAGACACGAGGCTCAGGGGCTCTGCTTTTCCCAAGTCAGGACACTGGAAGCGTTGCCACGGGAACCCAGTGACAGAGGAATTTGCATTTTCCTTCGAGTTCTTTCCTACCCATCTGCTCCTCTTCCTTGGAGCTACAGTAGTCACCGTGCCAGAGATGACAGTGCAGCCTTCTCCAGCCAAACACAATCCGGAGACCACTGTCTTCCGGGCAGAGGCCAGAGTGGGCGGGGCCAGACTGTGATGTTTCTCTCACCAGCTTTCTGGGTCTCTCTCTGACAAGGGCTCTCTGATTGGCATGCCACACCCTCTGCAGAGGTGAAAGAAGGCTTACCTGGCAGAGGGGAAAAGGTTGCAATATGGAGAAGGATGAGGAGAAGATGGTTTGGGGTTCAGAGTGGCCCACAAGCACAGTGCAGATTGGGCATGGTTGAAAAACAAAAAACAAAAGCCCGGCTATCCTGGAGTAGGTTCCACTAGGCCACTCATCTTCCATCAGCTGTCGAGTCGTGCGTGGTATGGCTGACTGACTTCCCTGCTCCCTTTACAGCTCTAGTGGACCCTTTAGTTTGCCAGAACCATTCCTGTCCTGCGAATCACTGCTATAACCATGGCCACTGCTACATCTCTGGGGCTCCAGACTGCCAGCCCGCTTGCACCTGCCCCCCAGCCTTCACTGATGCCCGCTGCTTCCTGGCTGGGAACAATTTCACTCCCACCATCTTTAAAGGTATGACTAAATCCTCCTGCCGTACCAGCCCCATGCGTCTCTCCTGTCTGGCTGGGAATGATGGGAAAACCAGTGTCTGAGGCCCAAGTTCTCCAAACGCCCATACCAGAACTGAGTTTTCCTCCTGTGTGCTGAGTTTGGGGCAGGGAAAGCCAACGAGAGCAGCTGTCCCAGTGTGAACCATGGGCTCAGTCATTTGTAGAGGACAGAATGAAGCAGAACCCTCCTAGCTCCATTAGATGAGAGCCACAGAAATCGTGGTCAACACAGGGGCAATGGAGTGCAGCTCTTCGGTGACCTTGCCGTGGTGGATTGAGCCGTCTCTGAGCGGGCATAGGGGAAATGTTGGATAAGTCTGAAAAATCCATGGGGTGATGGTGGGTCCTGTTTCTTCGTCTCCAGAGCTTCCCTTGAGGACCATCGTGCTCTCACTCAGGGAAGATGAAAACGCCTCCCTCGGTGACGTCAACGCCTCGGTCAGTGTTGCTTGCTGGACTCCCAGTGGGAATCAGATCTTGAAAGGTTCCCACAGGGGCAATGCTATAACCTGCACATCCTTCAACTACCTTAATTTCCCAAAGGAGGGGAGCCTCTTGCCCAGGGGTGGTTCAAGGGTCTAGGACACCTGGAAGCCTCAGGATTAGAGACCCTAGAATGGGTTAGAATGACCAGCTTGCCATGAAAAGACTCCAGGTGACATGTCACCCCAGCCTGTCCCTCTGGGTACCCCTCATGATTCACGCTTTCTGGCTGCTATATGGAAGAAGTCACCTCCGCTCTGGCCTCCCAAAGGGAACTGAGACTCCTCTGACAGCATGTCCTTGTCGATACCTCCATTAAGCAAAGTAGCCGGATTGGTGAATGGTGGAAACTCTAAGACTCCTTCCTATACACAGGGGCTCAGATCTCTGCCCAGCCTCTCTCTAGAGCAGGCGTAATAGCTAGACAAGCTCTTTACAGCAGCTTTGTGGATGATAGTAAGTAGTACCTGTCATTAGGCCGTGTCGAGATTTAAATGACAAAGCGTGTAAAGCATTTAGTAACCAAAACACAGCAGGTATGCAATGGGATTATTACTATTGGTACCCTGACTGCCAGAGATGCTCCACCTCAAACGGTCAGATCTCTTGACATCTGTCCGCCGCCCTTAACTGCAGGCTCCTTGAAATAAACGGTTCCTGAGTCACCTTGGCATCCCTGGTGCCCGGGCGTGCCTAGGTCTTAGCTAAACAATTTGTGTTTGGTACATGTGAGGGGGAGGATGGGCTGGGATCAGAGACCAAGTGGAGGTGTTTGTTTCGGATGTGCCCCTGGCGATGCTGAGGCAGAGGAGGAGGAACGTGCCTCCTCCCTCACCCTCTGAGTGTTTATTAAGCAAGGACCCAGGCCAGCCTCTGACTTAGGCATGAGTGTGGGGGTGAGGAGATGGGCTGCAGACGCTCTAGGGGGCCCTGCATTCAAAGGTGGGCCGGGCCAATCTGATCCTCATTCCACCCATCATCCCATTCTCCCTCTCATTCGCCCCCATCGTAGGTGGCCTACAAACTAGGGGCTCTGGACATGCGGGCTTTTCTCTGGAACGACCCAGTGGAGCTGACGTGGATGTAAGTCAGGCCGTCCCTCTGTGACTCCCCTCTCCCTCTCCCCTGCTCCTCAGAAACCTCACTGTTCCCCTCCCATGCAGCTCTCCCTCAGCACGGCCCTCGGACAAGTCAATTCAACACTGGAGGGTCGTCTCCCACTTCCAGTACCGTCCCCGGGGCCCGGTCATCCATTTTCTGAACAACTAGCTGATAGACGCTGTGGTGGAGGCCTTCCTCCAGCAGGCTCCGAGGGGGAGGCAGAAGAGGAGCAGTGGAGAAGCCAGGAAGAATGTCACCTTCCTCCCCATCTCCAGGGCAGATGTCCACAGTGTGATGGCTTGTGAGTCCCTCTGTCTTGGGGGACAATACAGAGACATTTGGGGAAGAGAAGAAAAGTAAATGGAGGGGACATGGCAGACCCGCAGGCAGACCCGCAGGCCACATCAACCCCCAGTAGGAAGCATGGGGATCTATTTGCAGAACCGCAGTTGAAGAGGCGGCAGCTTAAGTTAGCTCTGTGGTTTGTACATCTTGGAGTGAAATTTAAAACGTTTCCCCCAACAGCCTTTTTCGATGCAGAGCAGGGACACAAGATGTTGCTGGTAGACCCTTGTGGGACACGGCAGTTATTCCAACCCCAGGCTGCCTGATGGGTTCCACGTATCTGTTTGTTTGGTTTGGGGACAAGATCTAACTTCATAGCTCAGGCTGGCCTCAAACTCACGATCCTCTTGCCCTAGCCTCACAAGTGCTGGGATTTCCAGGCTAACGCCACCACTAATGCCACTGCACCCACCAGCTTTCCGCTTTCTTTAGTAAGGTCACTCACTTCTGAAACTGTCATTGTACTGAACACCTACCTGTCACCTTGCCCTCCTGCTGAGGCAGGAGACTGACGGGAGTAGAGGACCCCTTCTGAAAGGGTGTGGCTCCACTCAAGCCAGAACCCCACGGTCCCATTGGGAAAATGAGATGGGCTTTCTGACGTCCTCTGGTTCTCCTGGGCGGGAGCATGGGAGACCAGGGGACAGCCCTGCTGAGCTTTGGGAATGGGGCAGAGGCCGGGATCGGGACCACTGCCATTCTACTTGGCTCCAGCACCTGATGAGAGCTGCTTCTAGAATCCGGTTTAGGATTCCTGCTTCTTGGGGCAACAAAGTGAAATTCCTCCAGACTGCCGCACATTGGGAAGTGGTGGGAGTCAGGCGGCAGTGAGGGAGCTGTGGCCCCACTCTGCCCGGAGTGCCTGGTGTGTGCCTGCCTCTCAGCACTTGAAAGGCAAGAGGATCTAGAGCGCAGTGGAGCTTTGGCTGTGGAGCAAGTCTGAGGCCAACCTGGGCTGCAGGAGCTCCTGTCTCAAAGAGTGAAAGAAAGGAAGGAGAAAGGGAAGAAGAAAATACGATTTTATTGTACAAACACAATATGTTTATTGTAGAAAGTTTAGGGAACGTGGGGTTGCAAACGTAAGAAAGAAAAGACAATGCTACTTTGTATTCTAATTTTCTTTTGTTATGCCTTAGAGAATTTCACATATATATATATTTCACATATCAATTGTTACATACCTATTCCCATTCGACATATTATTTTTACAGTGATCTTTTTGAAACTGGTATTTGCAACAAATTTTAAGTGTTGCGGGAATAGCTACTTTTTATCGAGTGTTTATTGTGTATCCAGCCACCCTGTCTCACATACTCCACATGCAGTATCTCACTGAACATCACTGCTGGCAAGTGATGCTTTTATGCTTTGTTTTTAAGGATATGGAAACTGACTGGGCGTGGTGGCGCACGCCTTTAATCCCAGCACCAGGGAGAGTCAGAGGCAGGCGGATCTCTGTGAGTTCAAGGCCAGCCTGGTCTACAGAGCAAGTTCTAGGACAGCCAGGACTACGCAGAGAAACCCTGTCTCAGAAACACACACACACACACACACACACACACACACACACACACACACACACACACATACAGAGAGAGACAGAGACAGAGAGAGAGAGAGAGAGAGAGAGAGAGAAGGAAACTGAGGTTGACTTAGGAAAAAGTCCCTGCCACACAGCTAGTTAGTCAGAGTCTGAATTTCAGCTCAGATCTGACTAACTTCCGCTCATCACTACTGGCCTTTTCAGACCTTGAAAACTACCCTCCCCTTGGTAAGGCTGCACAGTAACTTATCTGCTAAGTGTCCTGTCCCCCCACCCCCGTTATACACCGTTGATAGGCTCACCCACGTAGACCTGAGTACCCACAGATACGGGTATCTGCGCACGCAGCCAGTTGTTCCTCAGGATAATCACCTGACCTTTGACTTATCTCAGTTGTTTGCATCTTTGTCCTGCCTACAGTGAACCTAAGTAGGCTGAGCGATTACTTCCAGTGTGATGGCTACAAGGGCTACAGGCTGGTCTACAGTCCCCAGGACGGTGTCACCTGCGTGTCCCTGTGTAGTGAGGGCTACTGTCACAATGGAGGCCAATGCCAGCACCTACCAGATGGGCCCCAATGCAGGTGGGTAGGGGCCTGGGGCTGGAGAGGACAGTGCTGGGGAAAGCAAGCTGGGCGGGACACCGCAATAGGCCCAGGAAGGCATGGGCCCTCCCAACACGTGACATTGGGATGACTCCCTAGTGACTGGGGACAAGAAGCTGAGGAAAAGGGGGGGGGGGGTGACAGGAGGGTGTGTACCGCTCCTCTGCATGGAGAAAAAGACATGCATTGCTTCTGAAACCCATGCTAGTCCCAAGAGGGTACTCCGACCATCCTGGAAACGAGAAAACTGTAGAGCGGCAAGGGCCCAGGGGCCACCCAGGAAGTAAAGTGGCAGGCTGCTAGAGCCCTCGAAGAAAGGAGCTCACTGTCTTGGTCTGGTCCCGGTGCAGCCCCTCTGCAGAGGCACTCAGTCTGTGGACCCCCCTGAGGCTGGTTCCTTAGGTCTCCTCCATGTTAACAGTGTCTCCCCTGAGGAGAGGACTGTAAGTCTGCAGTGACACAGGGGCCTGTCGTCCAGTGTCCTCTCTTGATGTCCGCAGTGACACAGGGGCCTGTCGTCCAGTGTCCTCTCTTGATGTCCGCAGTGACACAGGGGTCTGTCGTCCAGTGTCCTCTCTTGATGTCCGCAGTGACACAGGGGCCTGTCGTCCAGTGTCCTCTCTTGACGCCCTGCCTCACTCTTAGTCCACGACTGGTCAAAGGAGTTGAGCTGAGTCGAGGGTAGAGCCCATCCTTTGGAGAACAAGAGGATGGATTTGTGACTGTACGAGCACATGTTCCTTTGTCTCCCACCCTTCTGGGCTGTACATGTGGAGTAGAATGTGCTACTCACGCCTCGTTTTTAAGCCGCGCCTCCCTCCTTTGGCTGATGACCTCACTTCAAAATGGCCTCTGGGCTCCATGGCTCCTCCACCCAGGGGATAGCCCTGCCTCTCCTGAATAATGACCCCTGGTCCCCAGGAGAGGAAGGCTGAGCAGGCCAGGCCTGCATCCTCACTGACCACACTTGTTCTCTCTCTCCCCAGCTGCGCATCCTTCACCATCTACACATCCTGGGGCGAACACTGTGAGCACCTAAGTGTGAAACTTGGAGCATTCTTCGGGATCCTCTTTGGGGCCTTGGGCGCCCTCTTGCTCTTGGGGATCCTGGTATTTGTCATCTGTCACTTCTGTGGCTGCTCCATGAACAAGTTCTCCTACCCTTTGGACTCAGAATTGTACTGAATTGGCCTTGCTCCAGATGGGCAGCCGCACCTAGGATACCTCAGGACCCACCCATCACTCCGCCTCTGATCTAAGGAGACTGGAAAGGGGCTGCTGAGCGAAGGGGATTTGCGATTCTTCAAGAATGAATAAAGGGAGTAGCCAGACTATACCTTGTCAGTAGACTAGGGGTACAGGAAAAGGCCACGATGACCAAATATTTAGATGGGTGGGTCCTCACACAGACACATCTGAAAGGATGACACTGCCATGTATGAAGTGCACAGACACACACACACACATACACACACACACACACACACACACACACACACACACACACACACACACTCCAGAGTTAATGGGTGACTGGCTCTACATTAACCAAAATGTTTTTATGTATAAAACTGACTTACTTCTCATTCAAATATATTTAATAAAAGCCTTTTATCTTTTTGTGTCTCCAAACCATGGATTCCATCCATTTCTTGTGGGGCTGAAGGGCCGGTTAGGCACCGTGCATTCTCCCAGTCCTCCGGAACATAGATGTGGCACCTGCATGTTAGGCCCAGGAGTCAGGTGGCGGGGCCCAGCCCTGTCACAGCTCCCAGTGGTCCCGTGGTGGCTGCATCAGTGGTCACAACACTGTCTTACTCCTTGCTTCCTCCTGTCTTACCCCATTCCTACACCTCAGCCAATGCTTTGGGGGCAGTTGTTCCCCAAAGATTCTGTGCTGAAGCCTGGGTGCTTGGGGCAGCCATGTTGAAGCGGTAAGCCTTCAAGAGGCAAGGCCTAGTACAGGGCGGTCAGTTAGGCCATGGAAGTCACCCTCGGGAAGACTGGAATATTTCTCAAAGGACCCCTGTTCCCCTGGGAGTGAGTTTTTATTACGTGAGGCTAGCCTGTGCTCTCGGCCTCTTTTGCATATAGTGGACAGGTCTCTCTTCTGTTTTCTCTGCCCTTTGACCTAGCCAAGGCCCCTGATTTAGAGGTCAAACAGACGAGGCCATTCAACCTGGGATTTCCAACTTCTAAAACTGTGGACTTTATCATTAAGTATCCTGCCTGTTCAGGCCAGGTGTGGCCACACATGCCTGTAATTGAATTTGGGAAACAGAGGCAGGGGGATTCAGATTGCAAGATCTGGACCAGCAGGGTTTATACCAAGATCTTATCTCCCAAAGGAGGACTGTTTGCTAATGTATGCAAGGCACCTACACAGCTCAGACTGTGCAGTCTATAAATATATATTATTCTTGAATCAAAAAATAGGAGTTGTCAGATTTAGCAAATCAGAAGTAGAAGATGCCTAGTTAACATTAAGTTTCTGACAAGCCACCAGCATAATTTACTTTGTGTTATAAGGATGTTCCAGAAAATGCTGTGGGATGTTCTGTATGTCAAATATGTTGCTCTGATTGGTTAGTAAATAAAACACTGATTGGCCAGTAGCCAGGCAGGAAGGATAGGCGGGACAAGCAGAGAAGAGAATTCTGGGAAGTGGAAGGCTGAGTCAGAGAGACACTGCCAGCCACCATGATGACAAACAGCATGTGAAGACTCCGGTAAGCCACGAGCCGAGTGGCAGGGTATAGATTTGTGGAAATGGATTAATTTAAGCTAAAAGTACAGTTAGCAAGAAGCCTACCACGGCCATACAGTTTGTAAGCAATATAAGTCTCTGTGTTTACTTGGTCGGGTCTGAGCGGCTGTGGGACTGGCGGGTGACAGAGATTTGTCCTGACTGTGGGCAAGGCAGGAAAACTCTAGCTACAAGAAAATATTTAAGACATCCTTTTATTTTATTTTTTTAAATTGTTCATCTGAAGCCAGTTAGTGGTGGCACACGCCTTTAATCCCAGCACTCGGGAGGCAGAGCCCAGTGGATCTCTGTGAGTTCAAGGCCAGCTTGGTCTACAGAGAGAGAGTTCCAGGACAGGCTCCAAAACTACACAGAAAAAAAAATTGTTCATTGGACATTGTAACATACTTGATACTCTGTATCTTGTCTAGTAGCCCTGGTCACACTTGCTGAAGCAATGAGTGTACAAAAATGGGGCATTGACCGGGAAAGGAAGGTATCCTGGGGACACCAGGCTGTGTGTCTACCTTTGTGAACAGCAGAATTAGATCAAGGACACTATCAAAAATTTGCATGAGTTTACTCCTAGCTCTTTGGTTTGGATTCTGTCACTTTGGCACCTGGGATAAAAAGGGGACTGGCCCTTCTTCAGGGTGCTAGGCTTAGCTGAGAAAAGGAAGCAGGCACTCTGCAGTCCCAGCTGGTTACAGGCAGCAGAGACGTCCTGAGGGGCCACTGAAGGAAGAGAACTAGCTGGGGCCTCAAATGCCAATATCCTTGCTCAGTCTTCTCTGTTTTAAAGGAGCCTTCTAGAAACCTCCTGTGGGCCTGATGGAAGGAGCTAAATGGCCGGATGACAGACAGTAGCTGGCTGGCATGGACCCGTCACTAAACTTTATCGATACTAGAAAGTGATGTATCCGCTCACTTACAGTTGGGTCACACCCGTGAGTTGGCTACCAGGTACTGCTTCACACAGGGTGGTGGCCAGCCCTCTCTCGAGGGATGAAAGAAGAACTAGATGGCCAGGCTTTGGGTAACCTTGTCAGGAAAGTTCCTCATTATGTTGTTCTCTTCATGCTTCAGGGTCTCAGAGCTCATACCTAGTCACAAGTAACAAGGCAGGTGGTCTTATTTAGGTCCACACATCCTTTCATCTTTATGAAATGTGTGGTGGTGGTGGTGGTGGTGGTGGTGGTGGTGGTGGTGGTGTGTGCCCATGAAGCACATTAGGTGGCCTACTCCATCACTCTCTGTCTTATTATTCTGACCCAGGGTTTTTCACCAAACCTGGAGATTGACATTTTGGCTGAATTGACTGGCCAGCAAGGCCCAGGGATCCTCCAGTCTCTGTTCTATCCCTGGTAGTGCTGGGTTTGTTGGCTTGCATATGGCCATGCCAGGCTTTTTAAACGAGTGCTGGGGATTTGAACTCAGGTCATCACACTTCTGAAGCAAGCTCTCTTACTCACCGAGCCATCTCCCCATCCCTGATGCTGTTACCTTGTCTACACATACCTTCAGAATCTTAAAGGCTAGAGAAGTTTTCTCCATGTCCTTCTGCTTCTTGATGATTTGGTGACATTATTTCTGCTAACCTTGATCCTCTCTTTCCTCCTCCACACAATTATAATTATACTCTAGAATTTCCAAATACTTCCAATTGATCTGTCCTATATTTTATAATTTTTCTGATTTACAGTAGTAATTATCATCAACATTATATGTACAGGACCTTACAGGTATGTAATTAATATGAAATTGATCTCTGAAGAAGGTGTCACCAATTTAAGAAAGTACAAAGTGAGAGAAGAAAAATGACTCAGCGGCAGGGGCTCCCTTAACAGTGGCACTGTGGTCAAGTAAGCCAGCTGCTTTCCCTCTATGCCTTGTCACAGCACAGTTGATTACATCATCGGTTACACAGCTTGTGATTACATCATCGGTTGCACAGCTTGTGATTACATCATCAGTTGCACAGTTTGTGATTACATCATTGCTTGCATAACTTGTGATTACATCATCGGTTGCACAGCTTGTGATTACATCATCGGTTGCAAAGCTTGTGATTACATCATCAGTTGCATAACTTGTGATTACATCATCAGTTGCACAGCTTGTGATTACATCATCAGTGGCACAGCTTGTGATTACATCATCAGTTGCACAGCTTGTGATTACAACATCAGTTGCACAGCTTGTGATTACATCATCAGTTGCACAGCTTGTGATTACATCATCAGTTGCACAGCTTGTGATCACAACATCAATTGCACAGCTTGTGATTACATCATCGGTTGCACAGCTTGTGATTACATCATCGGTTGATGTCTTGCTTAACTGCACTGCTGAGAGCTCTTTCCTTAGCCTTCAGGGCCCAATGCCCTTATTTCAGGGACATCTGCTCATGTAGCCTGCCTTGGTCACTGTTCTACTGCTGTGATGAAACACCATGACTGAGGCAACTTATAAAAGAAGCACTTAATTGGGGGCTGGCTTACAGTGTCAGAGGGTGAGTCCATGACCATCATGGCAGCGAGCATGGCAGCAGGCGGGCAGGCATGGTGCTGATGCAGTAGCTGAGAGCTCACATCTGATCCAGAAGTTAGAAGTGGAGAGAGCGCTAGCCTGAGCCTGGTATGGGCTTTTGAAACTCAAAGCCTGCCTGCCCCCAGTGGCACATCTCCAATAAGGCCACACCTCCTAATCCTTCCCAAACAGTCCACCAACTGGGAACCAAACATTCAATTATATGAGCCCATTGAGGGCCATTCTCATTAAATTCACCACATAACCAACTCATCATCCATATTAGTCACTCAGACACATTTTAGTGTCCTTCTGTGCAGGGCTCTGTATAGCAGGAATCTTAAATGGTCTTATTAATAAGAACAACCCCCAAGCCAGGTATTGGGGTGAACGCCGGAAGATGAGAGAGACAGAACAGGCCACAGCTACCTCACCTTGCCAATTCCTCAGCTGATCCTGTTTCCTCAGACTGGAAGCCTTTGAGTCCTCATTCAAATGGATCTCAGCTGAACTGTTGCTCAAAAGCCTAAAAGCTTAACCAGCCAAAAGCTTCTAGTTTCTGGTCCTCATGCCTTATATACTTTTCAGCTTTCTGCCATCACTTCCTGGGATTAAAGGCTCTTATTACCACGCCTGGCTGTTTCCAGTGTGGCCTTGAACTCACAGAAATCCAGGTGGATCTCTGCCTCTGGAATGCTAGGATTAAAGGTGTGAGTGCCACCATTTTCTGGCCTCTGTGTCTATCTAGTGGCTGTTCTGTTCTCTGACCCAGACAAATTTATTAGAGTGCACGATATATTGGGGAACACAATATCCCCACAGCTCTGTTGCTCAGTTCTGTAACTACAGATACAAACACTAAACTAGTTAGTACTTATCCTGAATGAAGATAATTTAGGAAACCTGGAAAATGCCTAAATTATAACACACCACATCAAGCATTACCACAAAAATGTAAGCGAAGAGACCAAGAAATCAGCTCTTCTTTAGGGATCTAACAGAGACATGAAAAGGTCCCATCCAAACTGGGCTTCTGAGAATGAATACGTGTTTTCCAGGCGAAGGGACTCATGCAAGTGAGAATATTCCAGCAGGAAGGAATCATGAGGGCAAGGACTCAAATCAAATCTGGTGTTGCTTGGGAGCATGAGATACTCCTGTGGAAGGGACACGGGATAGAGGAGCAGGAGCTGCAGGGCCAGGAGTGAGGAAGCAGCTGAGGCCACATCTTGAGGCCTTGTATACCAAGCAGTATGTTTGTCTTCTAGGTAACAGTGGAAGTGGTTCTGATATTGGAAAGGAAAATGCTAGAGATAACATGAAAAGTAATTTGGAGGAAAAAAATAGTTTCATTTTCAGAAAATAAGAGCAA